GGGAACTAGTTCAAGGGAAACATGTCTAGGGCTGTGCAGTAAAATAAATTGCAGAGTGTCATTAAATAAAACAAGGTTTTTCACAAGTTAGATTTTATACCATTCTGGTGCAATTCAAAATAAGTGAAAGCTTATATTGCTAGAATACTGACCTCAAAGAAATGTTGATATAAAATTGCTTACTATCTATCACCCTATACCCATTCCAGAATCTTCAATAAATTCAGCTGGATGTGATTCCAGATTATAGGAATGATAAATTGTAAAATCTAAAACCTAACTCCCAATATTATAACTGCAATACTGCAGTTCAAAGAGGATTTTTGAGATAGATCTATATGCATTATTTATGTCAGAAATACATATATTTGGAGCATGTGGCAAAATTCACACCTTGAATAATAAACCATATTATTTGGCAAGATAGGCAGAAATAGAAAATGCTTTCTGTAGCAAATGTCAGCCTTCTGCTTCTGCAGATCTAAAGTCTCAGTTCCAGTAGCTGGACTTTTTGATTGGATATATATATATTTTTAAAGGATAGTAAACAAATATTACAGCAAAGACATTATTCATGGGGAATGTAGCATAAAGTTTGGTATGCAAAAATGATAACTCAAACATGGCATGCATGCAATCAATCAATGAAATCAATAGGATCCCAAATAATTATTTAGGTGTTCATTATAGAATGGGGGATTGCCAATGTCAGAGAGCAGAATCAGCCTGGTCTCATATTTGTAACCATCAGGCCTGCAAAGCATCCTTTTAATTGATTTCAATTATGAGATATCCAACTATAGGAACCTTGCCAACAGGAAAAATATCCTAATTCAGAAGATTATCCAAAGGGCTTTTAGCAACGTGTGTTACCTTTTCCACTCATGGTTTCTGAAGCATGAGTTTATACATTTAGCTATATAAAGATATTGGACCTCATCCACTGCAAGACACTTAATGGCACAGAGTATATGCCAACCTGCACATTCCATGCACACCAGATGGCAGCACCTATATGAGTTTGGTAGAGCTCAAAATTTAAATAGACTCCAATTATTACATGGAAGGGAGACCATGAAGAAAGTCTTTGGTTGTGAAATAGACTTCGCAGCTACTATTATCAACAAGCAAAGAACATGGAGGTTGCAGATTCTCTCACTCTCAGAAGGCACTGAGGGCTACAATGGGGCATTCTGAATATTTTATCTATGCAACATTGCCAATTTTAATGCAGGTATGATTCTTATAAGACCATAGTCTTAAACTGACCTATGCAGTTTATAGAGCATCTCTAGTCTAGATTTCTTTTAATCAAGTTGAATTCATTCTCTTGCCTTAAATATTTGAAAAACATGACATTTTAATTTGTTCTCTAAAGTTAAGAAGTCTTTGTTCTCTTGTATTCCTGAGTTTAATGGCAATATAACATAAGTGTGATAATAAGATATGAAGGTATTCATAAAATACATATGTCAATTTCTACTGAGAAAGAGAGAATATGAAATTAATGAGAACAGAACAAGTTGGTTAAAAGGTAAGAAATGAATGCTGTCATTACCTCATTAATATAATTAATGTTTTTCTTTTGTTCATATCTAGTTGTGGCTTTATTTATTTGTCAGATTTATAGTCCCCTTTCTCCAAAAGCTCAGTGATCTTTTATGATTGTTGGTAGTCTTGAACCAGAGTTTCACGTGCAACATCCGAATCACTACATTTCAGTTGCTTTTCACTGAATTTTACTTACTAGATAATGTTTACATTATCTGTGCAGCAGAAATTTTGCTTTTTGTATAACACCATATATCTACCCATGTAGTGCATTCTTTTTAAGCTTCAGCCTTTATGTAGTTATTTCAAATAAATACATTAGAAAAACACAGGACTAAGATTTCTTCTTCAACCAAAAGAAACATTTTTGACAGTATTTACCAGTATTATGTTTTAATGCGAATATGTTTTAAATTAATGTGAATACCACTGCAGTGAAAATATCCAGGCCATCACAATCTTGCAGACAAATTATTTCAAATATTAGCTTCCTGCAGAGACAAAACAAATACAGACTGGAATATTTATTAAGTCTATTCCTTATAAACTTTAGAATTGTCTTTTTTTTTTTATTTGACCATAAGCTTTTTTGTGGAATGTTACTGGCTTGGTATTTGAAAAAAAAAGTATTTTAACCTATCTATTGATTGAATTGTAGTGATGATTTTTCTATTTAAATAGATTTTCACAACTATTATTTTACAATACATTTTATTTATTCATTTATCTAACACAGCGGCATCCTATCTTTCTCAGGGAAACATAACGTTGTTAAAAACAAATGCATAACTAAGCATGGCATACAGAAAATAATTAAACACAAATTAACTATTTGAACATAAAGAAATAGAAAATGTAAAGGAAAACAATCGATAGTGCCTCTTCCACCGTGCTGCAAATCCTCACTTCATCATGTTGTCATCTTTTATTCTTGGCATTTGGCCTAAAGACATTCTTTCCTTTCACCTTTTTGGTGCATTAAAAAATATAGTTATCTGTCCTGTATAGGACTAAAGCAGGGGTGTCTAACTTGGCAACTTTAAGGCATGTGGACTTCAATTTCCACGCATAGCTGGCTGGGGATTTCTGGAAGACGACATCCCCAAGTCTTAAAGTTGCCAGGTTGGACACCGTGGACTAGAGGCAATGAGCAGGGGGCAATATCTAAGCAACAGGAGTGGACCTTAACAAATCTAAACAGGATTAGATCTGGTTAGTCCTTAAATGCGAGAAAATCAGCAAATCCAAGCTGTGGACTAGGTAATAACTTTGGGTGAAAAGTCATAATAGGCCCAACTGGCAAACTATTTCTATACTCTTGCTAAGAAAACTGCATGGATGCCTTTTTGTAATCACCTTAAATGCAATTAACATTTATCTTTACTTTTTATATGAACTCAAACACAGTCACTGTATGCAATGGAGTATAGGACTCCACTGATTTTGACTCTTATTGATAGATGTAGAATATTTTTGTTCTGCTTTTCCCAATATTGCTAATCACTGTGTCTTGTAGCATTAAATTCCTTTTATTACCATTCTTTTGTCTGTTCCACCAAACTCATTCATTGTCTGAATAAATGCATTCTATTCTTGTAGCATTTATGAGAAAGGGTTATTATACCCATCAAATATACTTTCTAAACACTGCCTGTACATGACATTTGTTCACTTTCTACCTTTTATGCATGTGTTAAGGAGGCAATGCTTCTTACAGAGAAGGTAGGTAAGAACAACAAAGCTATGATCACCCTACCTTCCAAAAGTATAAATATGTTGAAACTTTATTAACTTCATTAGTATAAGCAAATGGATTTGGCGCAGTGGCAGAGAGGTATAAATAATGGTCCTGATATGATATGATAGACCAGAGATTCCATCTTGTCTTTGAAAAAGCAAAATGGCAACTTGATTCTGGTCATTCAGCAAGGCCAAAGGAGAGCACCTCTGAAGCAGCTCTTTTCAATTTAGATCTATTAGTTCTTAACAAGCAACTAATCCTTATTGCCCATTTCTCAAATAATGGGTTTTCTCAATATTGTTCCATTTAAATTTAAATTTCATATAATTCAGAGGAGAAACCATTTCTTTCCCTTTTTTTGTTCCCCAAGTCATCATCATCAACAGCCTAATTGCAGGCAATCCCATTAGGTATTATACTTTGCAGTAATGATACACAAATGGAAACAAACAACATGAAATGATCAATAATAATGTAGTTTCAGAATCAATTATAAAACAATTAGTCTAAAGAAATTAATCTTCCCTCACACAACAATGCCCTAATGAACCTTAGCAAACAGCTTCTAGTGGAAACAAAAAACTCTCTAAAGAATAGGACTAAAGGCATTTCTGTTCAGGGGAATTAATTTAACACAATACCTATGCATAAAAGAACTCTTTTGGTTCCTTAAAAGCACTCATTAATTATTCATTCAGATTTCACATTCTATATCCCATTAGCTTTATATCTGCAAAGTTGTTGATGACCACACGTTAGGGCCAAATAATTAGGACTTTTATTCTCTAGGCACAATGGAAATATCAATTGCTTTAAAGAAAATTTAAACCAGCATGTGGAAGTAGGCTTCAGCAGTTTTTCTATATCTCATAGGATGGCATTATATAGTTTTATTCACTGAAATCAATAAGGCTTATTTCATTTATATTCACAGAAGCAGTGAGGCACCAATTCTAACATATGTACCTGAATAATGTAAATAATAATTAATGCCTGATTATTAACTTTTCTACTTTCAAATCAGGCAAACTGTATCATCCTACATACTGATGAATAATAACGGTATCTCTAGCAATCATGGCCAGTAGTGAAGGATGCTGAAAAGTTACACATTTAGCAGCATCTGCAATATAACTTCATAGATAGAAAATTACTAATCTTCCAATTATTACAATAGTTTTTAATGACAATTAACCAACATGGCCCAACGTGAGAGATACTGGAATTTTGGCACAGAAACACATCTGATGTAAAAAGTGATCATACAAATGTACTCTGCATGGCATACTTACTTATGGTTTACTTATTTACTCATCAATCATCTCACCACATAGTCTGAGTTCATAGAACATACTACTGTAGACTAAAATACAGCTGGTTAGATTATGTTTCAGCTTTATACTTCTACTTACCCTATGAGTTCAGTGTGGATTGTTTGCTTAAAAGGGTTAATTACCATCTTTCATGAGATCTGATAATGATTCCTAATTTTGCCTGGATTGGATATATTTTAGTAAGCAAAACAAAATTTAAATAGCAAAAATAAATAACTTGAAAAAGGACTCATCCAAAAGGGCCTGTAATTTTATATTTATTTTAATAAATGTTTAATTCCTGGTATGGATGAAGGCTTAAGCAGCTCAAATGCTATAAAAGAGAGAGCCTGAATCACCTTTAAAAATGCTAACAAGGAGGGACTAATCATTGTAAAGGATCTGCTCACCTCCTTATATAGTTCATTTCCATTTATCAAGAATATCAGGTAAATGCAAATATTATATAAAATATATATTTTAGAATCTTATTAGCAGAGCAAAAGGTGTAGAATAAGTGCTATTAATTTATTTGCAAATAGATCCAAATCAAATGTATGTCAGAGATGACGCTTTTGAATTTACAGGCCTACCTCACAACATAGGACATAGCCCCAGGCAGATTATTATATTGTCAGTCATGTGACAGAAAGGGAGGAGAAAACTAGAGAGTATCTATTGTTTATTTTTTCTATAAATTACTGTAAAGCCATTCCTCTATACGAGTTGCTTGTATTTTGGACCATAGGAAAACTTTGCAGCAGGACTGTTTGCTCTGAAGACTACTAAAAAGAACATGCAGACTTTAAGGTAAATGAATATAACCCATTGCTTAAAATGCAAATCAAAATATATAATTTTAATTAAAATATGTTTTTCTATGACATTCTGCATTTTTTTCCATCTAATTGATAGTGCTATATGGGTATTATTATTTTTTCTTCTGAGAGCAGTTGGACAAGTCCCTGCAGGGTTTTTTTGGCAAGGTTTTTAGAAGTGACTTGCCATCCAGCTGGCTTTGTGCCTAAGGCGAGATTAGAACTCATGACCTTCCAGGTTCTAGCTTGGTGCTTTAACTTAATATCAAACTGGTTCTCATGGATGTTATAATGTTTAGTTATTAATAGTTTTTATTAATGCATTTTTCTATTAATATGTATTGTGACTGCAAGGTGTTTGAAAATGAAGACAAAAATGTCCTAAAACTGCTCTTATGCTTTCTGCTTGTTTAGATCCTTCCATTTCATTTTTGTGATGACCGTGTCAGTATATGTAATCCAGATGGCATACGGTAAGTAAGTTTATGCAATGATTTTTAATTGTCTCAGTCCATGAAAAACTCCCCCTGTAAAATGATTCCTCCTAAAGCTTAACAAATGCAGTGTTAAGCCCCTCATAGTCCTATTTCCTTTTTTGATACAGAGCTTTAGCCAGAACAACTTCCTACTAAAGTGCTAAACACTTAAAAGGGATGGGCAACTAGTCCCCAACAGCTAGAGACCCAGAAAATTGGGGAAAGGATAACCAGTGTCTTTCTTCCACTCCCATTACACCTACTCTGGAGAAATTAGAAGTCTGAATTTGTCTTTATATCATATATGGGAGTGGACACAAATGCAATGCTACCCATTTAAAAGTTACCATACGTATGTTAAATCTTAAATAGAAGGATTCTAAACAGAAACTTCATTATTTTTGTCCATCTCTGGCTCTCTTGGAGTGTCTCCATCCCTATTTCATTGGCAACATTCATCAAAACTAGCTTGGGAAATGCAAGAAATGCTGCGTATGTTTTCTTGATGTAACAAATCATCTAATAAAAATATGAGGGCTGAGGGTAATAGCCATAGAAGGGCAATAGTGTGGGCATTACTGAATTTTATGTGTTTCTTCTCTTTTAAAAGCTTGTGAAAGTGAAGACTGTGACAATGATGGCCCAAGTTTGGGGAATCGGAATCATGCTTTGAAAACCTTTAATGTTCTCAATCAACTTAATTCTGAAAAGAGGAGGAATAATCCATCTAATGTTATACCTTTCATCGGGATCACAGACAGTAAGTTTTTTGCAAACTGTACAAACTGCTGTAGATTTTTGTTTGGTTTAGATATATCAACATTAACAGCAAGGCTGTTTGTTATCTATAATTTATACAGAATTTCTGAATTTTTAAAATATTTTGTATTCCAGTATTCTTCCACAAAAGCCATAAGAAAAATTATATTGTGCCTATTTTGCAAGGGAGAAATGGCTATTGAGATAATAACTTTCTCATGATAAAAATGAATTTACAGATTTATTATTCCTTGGACTGTAATTTTCAACATCTTCATTAAGCCCATTGACCACCAATATATCTCTGAACAATAGAATTTGTAATCTAGCGCTTCTGGAGCTGGTCACATTGGGAAGTTTGTTCCCCATGTATTGATAAACACATAACATTTCCTAGTATTTCAAGCCATTCGTGGCATCTTCCATTTATTATTTTGTTATCTTTAAAACAGTAATGAATATTGACTCCAAGGTCCCTTCCAACTTTATTGTTGTTGTTGTTGTTGTTAGAATGGCTCCTGTTTCTGGAGCTGAACTTTGATAAGTACAACCCCAGGCAAACAATCATAGATGGCCAGCCAGGACATCACATAATCTTGAATTTATAACAATTGTTTGTGATACTATTATATAGTATACTATTAGTAAAACAAAAGATAAGTGTCTATTCTTTGGATTAATTGGAAATCACCTCAGGTTTGGAGGATTTCTAATAAATCTGAAACCATCTGAAAGTTTTACTTTTTAAAAGAAACATAACTCTGATGTTTCATATGTTTAGATCTCTTCTCATGAATTAATATCCTCAAAGCATTTTGTTCAATTTGATCCACAGTGTAGCATGTCCCAAATTTCATAATGGTCCTTAATTGTTCAGATAATCCATACTGGACCAATATTGAAATATGCATGTGCCTAGAATTTCTTCTTCTACTTTTATTAGAGAATGGAAACTGTTCTGTCCAACGTCACATAAGTTCTAGTCTTTTGTATAGAACGCTCACTGTACAAACAGTAACTCATTCTCTGTATTAGTGGACAAATCTACAGAACATAGCTTCCATGTCTTTGTTTTATAGTTTATTTATTTTCAGTGTACGTATTAGAAATTTTTTATTCCACCTTTATTACTTTAGAAGTAATTCAAGACAGCAAACATACATGATATTCTTTATTCCTCGCATTTCTCCCACAATGACAACCCTGTGAGGTGAGTTGGGCAGAGTTGGGCCCAGAGTCACCCAGCTGGCTTTCATGTCTAAGGTGGGACTAGAACTCACAATCTCCTAGTTTGGTGTCTTAACCATTAGACCAAACTGGCTAAAAAAATTAAAAAGGGCACTTAACTCTACAGCGGGCACAGCAGTAGAGAAACTAGTGGACATTTTTACTATATGTAGCAGGACAATAGTATTCAAGAAGGTCTGTTTCTTTAAAGCAATTTGATATATTTTTTTATGATTTTCTCCCCATTTATTTCTAGCTAGCAAATTGAGCAAACACTGCTGCAAAAATGGAGGAACTTGTTTCTTGGGAACTTTTTGTATATGCCCAAAACATTTCAGTGGAAGATACTGTGAATATGATACAAGGATCAGGTATGTAAAAGGCCTCTGTCTCTGAGATCCGTCAGCATTGTGCTAGTAGACTTTCCTACACCCAACAATCATGTCCCTCTCTCCTTCCTTTCTTCCTTTTCCAAATCTGCTCCAGGAAAAAATGGGTTGGGGGGGGGCAGAGTTGGAGAGGTGCAACATGTAAATGACATGAGTGGCATCATTTGTCCTGGGGAATTTATTTATTGCATTTTTATTCACTTTAGATGACTGTTTCCCAAGCTTGACAGCTTTAAGATGAGTGGATTTCGACTCCCAGAATTCCCTAGCCAGTCCATCTTAAAGCTGCCAAAGTTGAGAAATACTGATTTAGTTAATTCCTACAGTAACAATCCTTAAGGTGCTGAGACAAATTTATTTGACCCAAATCATCCAGTGAGCTCTACAGCCAAGTGGAGATTTGCAATTATCTCCTCACTTTTCTTCTTATTTGTATGTAAAACAAACATTATCTGACCTGATATCTCCATTATCCTTGGACTACAATTCTCTTTTTTCCCAATAATCTCCTAATTCAATTCTAATAAGCCTCTCAAAATTGAGCACTAAAAGCATATGTAATATCTAATTTAGTCATATTTTTAAGTAAAAACCTAGCCTAATTTTGAGTTTCCCTCTCCCACCTTTTTATTTATTCTATTCAATTTGGATGCTGCCTGACTTCTAGAAACTCTTCATACGTTTCTTTCTGTATCAGTCCTGTCGGTCCTTTGGAGTATGGGTAATTTCTTCTGTAGGCACCATCATAAGTGGTGATGGATTGTCACAGAGGTAGATGGAGTGATTTGCTAGTTGGCTGCCTGCCTAGCCATTGTTTTAACAAGAGTGATGCTTACTCAAAATCCTCCACCTATGCTTCTGAAGAGAAAAGGCTCCCTTTTGTGATTTTATAGGGGTTTCTGAGAGTCTCTGGAATTCATCGCAAGCTCCCATTTACTAAAACATTGTGATTTCTTAGGAGTTGTGGTTCCCTTGGACATGGTGAGTGGTCCCAAGAAGAATGTCAATTATGTCGCTGTATTTATGGGACTCTGGAATGCCTGCCTAATGTTTACAAGCAAGGATGTGGTAAGAAGCAGTTGAATTACTACTCTGGAAGCTGAGCTGATTAAACTGCCAATTTCTTAGTAGCTCCTTGTTCCTTTACTCAGTGCTGAATTCTTATGTCAGTGAGAAATTGGTTTGAGTACCTATATGGAGTAAAGGGAGGGAAATAATTAGGAAGGGAAGCTGAAATGCCACTGAGAGATCATAAACTCTAATTCTCCTCCAGTTTTGCCTTTAATCTCATGGAAAGAAAATATTAATTACTGACATCCTTCTCATTTAGAGTCTGCTGCTTCCAGATGACCTGGACATTCAAGGAAAGCTTTTAGCTGTAAGTACTAGTATTTATTGTCCTAAGAAAAGTGGGGGCGCAGAAAAAGACTGTAGAGAAACCTCAATCTGGAGGCATCATTTAAATAACACTGAGCATCTTAGCAGTCCAGAAATAGAACATGATATCATTGCTATATTAGATTTACTGTATATCCTACCTTTTCTCCAGGATTTGATTTACTATAAGATGTCTAGCCTATGAGCTTTTCTTCCAAACATGTCTTGATAACTGTTTTTTTTTCTTGGCCTTTCCACATAACCTAGACTTCATCTCATCCCCAGCTATCCTCTTTTTTATAGCATAATTTTTTTACTAGGAATACAGTCTGGCACATGTCATGAATGATATGATTAATCATGCCTTTGGTTTAAGAAGTGCGCAAAGTCATAACTCACACCTGCAGAACGGGCAGAGAAAGATACTGAGAAGAGCTATGACCTCTCTTATCTAAGCATTCACTAGGCAGCATTTCCTCCCTTGTGTCTCAAGGTTTTTCTCACATACCACCAGTGATGGGATTCAGCTGGTTTGCACCACTTCGGCAGAACCAGTATCTAATTTTTTGTTGCCCAGGCCCAGAATAGACTTTCAGAAGCGGCATCCACACAGAGAACCGGTTGTTCACATATTTGAATCCCACCACTGCATACCACTATACATTCTGAGGACTTAACAACTATTGCCCTGATAGCCCAATGCTCCTAAGATGACTCTCATGCAAGTGCAGCTCCTGTGGTTGTCACATGATGAATTAATCATTTCGTGTTTTTGTTCAAAAAAGTTTAATCTCTGGATTTTAAATTAAGTTGTTAAAATAGGTTCACTCCACAGGTTAGACTAATTTTAATGCATTTTTCTTAACGCTTCTAAAAAGAGTAGAGAAAAAGGCAGAAACAAGGAATAAAGAAGAGAGAGAAGTGCTAAAGTAAAAATTTGTGTGTATGCTGCCTCCAAAATATAATAAAACAGATTTGTAGAAATTAGATCTGATTCTTGGTGACTTTGGTCACATAGTTTTCCTGGTTAAAGTACAGAATTCACCTTTTTTCCAGATTTTTGTTTTTTAACATTCAGGCCAACCTATAATTGTGAGATCTCCTAGTGGTCTCCCATCCAAGAACTTTATTTTGCTTTGTTTTTTTTCAAAATCAGCCAAGATTTGCTAGCTTCTGCATCTGAGCTGGGCTCCAAATTAGAAAAAAAAAATGTGGAAACAGATTGGAAAATGTGCCCAGTTCAAATAGGGGATATGCTATATTGTCAATTCTTCAACGTCATGGATATTTGTTAAATGTCTTATCTGAAACTTTTCTCCTTTCCATTTGAGTTTGCCATCATTGGCAGCTTTCATTAGAGGCGCTGCCTTGTGATCCACTGCCAAGGGAGTCTAAATTAATGATAACATGAGACTAGGCAGTTGTGGGATTCAAATATGTGAACAACTGGTTCTCTGTGTGGATGCTGCTTCTGGAAGTCCATTCTGGGTCTGGCCAACAAAAAATTAGCCACGGTTCTGCTGAAGTAGTGCGAACTGGTTGAATCCCACCACTGAGACTAGGCCTTTAAAAGCATTATCCCTGTGGGATTTCTTCCAGATCAAAGCCAAGTTGGTTCATTCCAAAGAGTTTTAGGTAGGCATCTAAAAAAAAAGAATTTGCCACACATTTGATAAATTTTAAGATCATTTTAGTTTTAGTTCTATTAGAATATATTTGTAAATAAAAGGAAAAATAGCTTTGGTTTAGAAGGTGGGTTGCAAAATTTGCTAACATGCTGAAGTAAAATCTCTAAAAAATGACTTCATTCCTAATCCCATGAATAAAATTAAATAGGGATAGTAGTAAAACAATAAATATTGAAATTAAGGGATATAATATGTTAGGAAAAACCTTTCAGATATCTGGGTATCAAACAAGATGACTTTTAAAGGTCAGTCCCAGTAACAAACCAGGGAGAGGCACTCTGGTCTAGTGATTAAGTATCAGATTAGAAATTAGTTGGATGATTTTGAGTTAGTCAATCTCCTTCAGCCTAACCTACCTCACAGAGTTGTTGTTATAAGGAAAATAGGAAGGAAAAGAACTGTGCAAGCTGCTTTTGAACTATAGAAAATAAGGGCAAGCTTCTGAAGAAAAAGCCCAAATTCAGGAAATTTGTATTTAATGCTTTTTATTTGAACAATCCCCATCCCAACCCACTCTTCATCATTATGTTGTGTTTCCCAGTTAAATCTACAACTATAACTCTGATTGTTTTAATTCGTTTGCGTGAAAAAAGTGGCACTTCACATAAAAGACATTCTAGGAAATTTGCATATGAATTCTTGAATGTCTCAAAATGCGATTAATCATTTTATAAAGTTTTCTGTTGGAACAATGATTTGCAAATCCTCAAGGAGGAGTTTTTAGTTTTTTGAGCTCTTACTTCACTACTCAGATCAAGATAATAGTCATGAGTTTGGGAGATCCCTTCAAAAGCAACCCATGTGTTTTATTTCTCATCAAGATAACATATGCTTTTTATAAATTTTATTGTTCTTCAGATCCTGCAAAGGAGAAAATACTTCAACTCAGTCTTGAAACCAATTCTGAATGTGAATACATATCTACAGGATTTGAGACATATCTTTGAAAATCTTCATTATTTTCTCCCATGACTGACAGGATAAATCTGAAGAAAGCTGCTTCTTTGTTCAAGTGTTTTATTTGACAGTTTGCCATTCAGGATAAGCATACCTGTTTCTTATAAAACTTTGTGCCCTGAACAATTACTTCAAAAGATATCACTTGTATATTGTAGTGACAAAGCACAATTTCTGAAACATGTTCAGTGATCAAGGATCAGATCCTGTTTGTTTCACATCAGAATTTGAAGGGGAACAGTCTAGAATACATGTCCAATATATGTACTTTCAAGTTTTTGGGTCCCTTCCAGACTCTATCAAATGCAGCAGGAGCCAAGAGGTTTAAGCAACTAATTCATGTCCTGTTTCTTTTCAAATTCTGTTGCACTGTGAAAGAATTTAATTAATCCAGGTTATATATGGAATTTGGGGTTATCCATCTAGGGCAGTCTAGGCAAAATTATACTGACATGATCATTAAGTTATCAACCCTTGCATGAACATTGTAATGTACATTTTAATCTTTTCATTACTGAGTGATGGTTCTTCCAGTGGAAGATGTTACATCTACTACCAAAGTGGCATCTGTAAATATGGATTGAGGTGCATAAGTATTATTGTTTGTTAATAGATTTTGTGTGTATATATATGTATATATGTCTTTTAAAATCTCTTGCTGAAATTGTAGAAAATAGTTAAGATAGTTATGTAATAGTTGGAATTTGTTATTACCTTGTATGTTTCAATTTTCCTGATTAAACTGTATATGTAAATAAACTCAAAATGCATGTTTGTAATCAATTTGCTCTGTGAAGTGTGACAGTCTTACTTTCAGATCTCTTACCCCAGTAATGGCAAACCTTTTAGAGACTGAGTGCCCAAACTGCAACCCAAAACCCATTTATGCATCGTCAGTGCCAGGTGGGTGTGGCCCATTGGCTGGGTGTGGCCAATTGGGTGGGCATGGCCCATTGGGTGGGCATGGCTGCAGTGGTGCAGACTGGGTGGGACTAAAATTCAATCAATCAATTCCAACTTTACAAGATCTTTTTTTTTCCCCGCGAGAAGTTGAAATTGACTAATTGAACCTTTTTTTTTTTTTGCCCATGGTGGCAGAGGCCTAAAGTGAAGGTTTTATAAAACCCAGCTTAAGGCCCCACAGAGAGAGCTCTGAGTGCCGCCTCTGGCACCTGTGCCATAGGTTCATCACCACTGTCTTACCCTATAAATGATCTCTTTAAACCAGTAAGCTAATATTTAAGTTTCAGTTTATCTCCAATCAATGACATGGATATAGACTGCAGCAGCTGTAACATATGAGAGCAATTAACTTAGTCATTCATATGAACTGTGTGTATTTAAACTAAAGGTCAATTTAGCAGCTTTATCTACTGTAACTGATTATATTATACTGTATATACATACCTTAATACAAGTTGGTATAATCTCTCTTGGTTAGTATATAAGTTTGTGTCCTGGTTATTTGGTTTAACCAAAAAAAAAAAACAGAATACTACAGGTATAGAGAGCCATAAAGAACCTTGAAGAAAATATTTAAAAAATATTGTGAAAATAAAAAGGATTTAAGCATATCTTAAGTCCTGGGAAAGGAGATAGCAAGAAAGACTCAGGTGGATTCCTCAATCTCATCCTGATTCACTGGGGTATAAGAAAAAGGAAAAGCACAATGAAACTTTCAAAATTATACTGTATTACCATAGTCCAATGTTTCTCAGCCTCAGCAACTTTAAAATGTGTGCTAGGGAACACTGGGAGTTGAAATCCAAGTAGTTTAACATTGTTGAGATTGAGAAACATAATAATCTGTCTCAATAAACGAAAATCTTGCTGTGGAGCTGATTTCCTGATCTGGTCTATCTCATCAGTCTCACAGTAGGGTATAATACACAGATTACTGAGATCATGATTCTCCAAAGTAACCAGAAAATACATATGTAATAAGATACCAGAAATGTCTGATTTCCTAACCAACCCCCCACATAGGTTCTTTATTTATTCAAATGTGCACTTGTTTTGATTGATTTGGAGCCACCTTGATATACAGAGAAGAAATTTAATCTAAAGCTAGAAAGATAACTCTTAACTGAGGAATCCTGTACCTTAACTATAGTTCAGCTGCTAATTTATACATCACATTTATATTGTGTCACAATCATAAAGACACTCAGCAACTCACAACCTGAAAACAGTAATCAAAATACAAAAACCAACAGTCAAAAACTTTTCCCTTAAATCCATGCTGATTTTGCCTTTGCCAAACCATTATTTAACTAATCATTCATGTGAAAAGGATAATAATGAGAAATAGGAAGCTGTATAATCATACTCCTTTCTTAGCTTTTCTGAATAACCCTACATATGCTCACATTTCTATATAAGATTACCAGTCCAGGAAACATGTGGGTTGATTGCTATAAAATAATTCCACTATAAGATTCTTCCAGTGTTTGCCACCCAGAAATATTGTAGCTCCCATATTTCTACTGTGGTCTTTGTCCCTAGTCTTGAGAGCTGCTTGGTTACTGATGGAAATAAAAAATAGCCTCCAGAATGACTAATTGAGAAATAAGCAGGGCCACTGTTAATGGTTATCTGCAACACAAAAATAGCACTTCCTTTCACTATGGCAAATAATTTAAATAAGGAAAACAAAAAGAGGACAAAATAGTCAGAAAACAGAAAGGAGAAAGATATAGAAGAAAGAGCTATTTGATTCATATAATATATAAACCAAGTTTATTCATGGATGATAAACCATAACTCAAATTGAATTTACATAACATTTAACATAGCATACATCTCATAAATTACGATTTATTGTCAACTTGGTCATGTTTTTGCCAGTCACTATTTCTCAGTCCCATTGTCAAAAAAGATATTCCTAGAGCACTGCCTTGATGGACTTTAAATGCAATAATCAAAGAAACAGCCATTACAAACCTAAATAACATTGAAATATGTTTCTTAGCTTGGTAGTGATGACAATTTGGAAACTGAACATTAATATATAAAAAATAGGTAAATAAATAAGTGAAATCTTGATTTCACAGAAATCTATATACATGGTACCTTTGCAAATCCAGTGATGATAGATTGATGGAGTGTTTTAACTTTTTCAGGAAATCAGTGAGGAATCCAGAATATTGCTGGCATATAATTCTATTTATAATCAGGTATGACAGCTATGATGGTACTGATGCTCAAAGCTATGGGGCATCCCAGACTGCTTGGTTTCTGTTTTTTGAATAATTCATAGAAAAGTCTTGATTGAGAACTCTTGGATTTACTTGTGCAAATTTGCTCTTGTGTACCTGCAGGAAATTCTTTGGTTTTTTCCAGTTATTTTCTAAGATTCTGTCAAAAAAAAGTAAGGGGAAAAAATATTAGTGATGGAAAGTTGCCTACCAATCTCCTATATATAGTCCAACTTACTTGTGATGACAGCAATTCCTCTTTAATTGGGATCTCACATTTTTTTGAGGCCATGGATGGTATCACATTCTGCAGGGCTTAAGCTATGTCATAAATCAGTAACTTGCTGATTGCTTAGCCTAGAGGCATTTGTGGACACTTGTTTGTAAAATCTGAAAGTTATGACTATCCTGAGGGGACTATACAGGTTTCTTCCTATCAGGTTATATAATAGTTGGTGGATATTCTGAAAATGGGATAATAATGTCCTGCTGCATAAATCAGAAACATGACAGGAGCATTCCTTTATATTTGACTGGTAGGAAATAAGTTATTAGGTCCAATTAATTAAAAATTGCCCATAGAAAATCCAGCTGTGAGAATTCAAGAACTCTCATGTGCAAATTCTGAATTTTTTGTTGCTTTTATCTAGCAGTCTAGCTTTGGTGAATTTTTGCTATTTTCCAGTGAATTTATTTTATTTAGAGATATGCTTTTTGATGTTAGTTCAAGGATATTCATTCTTTTTTACATAGATATGGCAATACATAGGAGGCAATATTTTTAAATGATAATTAGTTTGCAACTGGGGAAAATATCCTTATTTTTTCTTCCCTCTAACTCCTAGCATTATTTCTGTTGCAATAAGAGAATAATTCCAAAGCGCTGTTGGTTTGTAGAATAGATGAAAGTTGTTTTCCTTGTTTGAAGTGTATTTTATATTGAGATTTTCTATAAGCAATGGCAGTAGTGCATAGAAAAACTAATATTTCCTCTCCTTTTAAAATTTGCAGGTCATGTTTTGGATAGTCTTCATATTATAAGAGGTTTCTCCAAATATTATAGAAATATGAGAAGAAAAATTATTAATTTATAATAGGTTTCCAATGCAGAAAATGCTATAGTAGTGAAACAATTAATACATAACAGCCAAAGTAACTTTCATATTACATTTACTATAAATGAACCAAGTTGTTCACAGGCACATTATTAACTGACTTATAAAATAGGTTAAGTAGAAATCTCTTTTTCGAATGAAGGCAAATATACGTGAACTCTCTTTTGCTGGAAAAAAAGAGTATGTACCTGGGAACAGAACATATACAGATATGTTACAGCAGTCTGGGTATGGAAAGGTTTTGTGTCATAAATCAGAAATTCAGACAAAGAAAGAGTACCTATACATACAGGTACTCTTCAACTTTAGACCATAACGGACCCTGCCCGTTACAGTCACAAGTGGAGACAGATGTTAAGTGAGATAGTCTCACTTAACTACCTCCACTCTCTGCTCTCCCTTATGTGGCCAATAAACAAACATGGGAAATGGTTAAACCGAACACAAGGTGCCTCAGGCGTGGTGGAGGCCTAGCCTAGGCCTTGGTCCATCTGCCCCGGGCCTCCTCCACCCCGAGGCACCCCATGCTCTGCTTCCTGCTCCTCGGGTCCCTACATGCTTGGCCTGCTTCCCACTCAGCCTCCCAGGGGAGCCTAAAGCCAGGAGCAGATGCTACTGATGCACGCAGGACTATGAGACCTTGTGACTGAAGCCTTCTTCCCAATCAGCCACCCAGTGACAGGACTCGGCCAGCCTCTCACTCAACTCCAGAGCCAGGCGGCACCCAACTTACCATTCTATTTTTTGCAGATTAGCCCAGCTGATGTGATGCATGGTTCAGCTTTCCTACAGAGGCTGTCTTCCTCATGGCAACGTCGTGCTGTTCTGAAAGCAGATACTATTGTTGCAAGCTTGTAGAGGACTCTGTTTTTTAAGGATGTTCACAAACTGCACTAACAAATGTCCAGCTTTAGGCTTCCTTGATTGGCTAAGTGGATAGCTAAGACTACAAACTGCCACAGCCCCATAAACACTCGGAGTGTCTGCTACCCGACTTTAGGCTCCCTTGGGTGAGTAAGTAGCAGGATGGGAAGCAGGCTTTGGCCTGCAAGGACATGGAGGGATGAATAGGAAAGATAGGTAGGAGGACCTGCTGCTGTGGCCCTACAGTAAGTTGTAAGGGTGAACAATTGCCAAGGACTGCAGTAAACATAATGTTGAAACTCTGTTGTACTTGTGGTTTTTGAGAGGTCTGTCATAACTTCAAATGTTTGCTAAGCAACTAGCTGTAAATCGAGGAATACCTATACATGCATACATGCACCCATACATAGACAAACATGGATATATTTGTTTTACAATAAAGGATTATTAAAATTAGCACAACTGAAGCAACTCTTTATACTTTCATACTGTTCATGCTGATAATTTTGTCCCTTCCTATGGTGTATCAATTTTGGCCCCTAGTGTGGAGAAAAAAGCAGCCTATCTATAAAGGATGATGTAATAATGATAAATCGATTCAATAAATTGAGCATTACAGTACTGTCTAATTGTATACAAACTAATATGTGTACTATTTAGCAATCTCTCCTCTTTAAATGAAAATATTACCTAACCCATAATCCCACGTGGATTGAGGTGACCAATACTATTACTTTTAGTTAAAAATGAAGAAATTCCCATCCTCAAGCAAATAATCTTTATATTATTACTTTATATAAGTTCCTAGGCGCTAAAAGTAAACTCTGAGCTTGATTTGAGCTTGGACCAGAGCCTTAATATAATCTCTTGTGATTCTGGATACTAACATTTATGATGCAATATGTACTGATACTAAACTGGCTAAACAAATAATATGATAGAGCAGTGGTCCTCAATCTTTTCTTCACCTTTAAATACCTTGTGGCCACAGTCCATGGCGATGGACCCCAAGACTAAACTCAAGATTTAAATCATTAACATTTCTTCAAGCCTTCCTGGACACAACATCACGGTTCCCCCAGGGGTTCACAGATCACAGGTTGAGAACCACTGTGATAGAGAATTGCTTGGGTTAAACTTCTAAACACTTCAATATAGTTCTTCTATAATTCACGGAATAAACCAAGATCTAAAGTTGACTTCAAAATCTGACTCTTTTTCTTATTGATTTCATACATGATGAATATAGAAGCTTTCATGCAATTTGTAATCAAGCGGGCCAATTTACTAATAATGAACTTGAAAATTAAAATGTCAGACAAAATAATGTAATATATGGTAACTCGTTAGGTTGTTCATGAAGATTATTTTAATATTGTTCTAATAGCTTAATTATAAAATATGATTTTTTTATTTAAAGTAGGTTTAGAAAGAGGGGAAAAACAACTCTGATTTATTACATGTTTGAGTGCTACCATCTTATCTGGTGACATTTTTGCTGGCAGAACAATTTAACAATTTGAATGTTTCCACATTTGTATTATGAATATATCACGTAACAACAAAAAATACACCCTTCAAGTTCTGTTAGTTCTCCTGCTAAGCAATTAAATAGGAAAAAATGAATTTTGAAACAGATTAACATGTATCTCTCAGTTTAACCTGTACTTTAACATACAAAGAGAACATTGAAAAAAAAATCTGTATATGTATTCTGAACTAAGATTTAAATGTCCATCCTATCAGGTACTATATGTAATAAATAAGATAAATGATGCTACCATATCCTCCAGTTCAGGCAGCAAAATCTCTTGGATCAGCATTGAGGAACAACGAGTATGATCAGTAGGCATTAAATCAGGGGTGTCCAACCTTGGCAACTTTAAGACTTGTGGACTTCAACTCCCAGAATTCCCCAGCCAGTACGCTAATCAACGGGGAAGAGAGGCAGCAGGCCATGTGGAGATTACTAGTATAGCACCTTCATGGAAGAAATTCCACAAGATCAATAACCCCAAAATAGGAAAGAAAAATATGCTGATTGTGGAAGTTATTGATCTGTTGTAAGCACTACAATTTAGCTCCTCCCACAGTTCTTCTAGTCACCTTACTGGAACAGTATGGTGTTCTGGCATTGTTTTTTCATTTGACAGATTATGGATCTGATTCTATTCAGGTTTTTTTAAAATGTGTTTGTTTCTTAGCATTTATGCCATTCTGACACCATTTATTTATTTACTTATTTGACAGATTTATATCATGTCTAGCAGCTCAAGGCAGCTCATGAGAAAGGCTGGGCTGAGAAAGAGCATCACTGGCCTAAAGTCAACCAATGAATTTCATGGTTGTGGAGAGGATTGAATTTGGTCTCTACAGTCCCAGTCCAATCCCTTCTACATCAATACTTTTGCCCTCTGAAAGGACTTTAAGTTTAGTTCTAGCACTAGTCAGAAAAAAAAGCTGCACTGGATGCATTCCCCAAAATAACTTTGTATTGCATACATGCACACATTTATATCATTGCAGAAATAATACAAGTATTAAATTCAAAAATGGAGCTATTTGAAGCATACCTACACAAGCCATACCTTTTTTAAAACAAAAATAGACATTTAAGTGAACTTGTTCTTCTTTGGAGGAATCTTTCAAGAATTTACTACTACAATTTAGAAATAATAAACTATTCATTTATTAGTAAAAACAAAGGAGAATGAAACTTTTCTTATTCACAAATCAAAGTTCAGATTTTGGTTTTTGACAAATAACAAAGGCAGGACAAAAAATCTTTAAAAAATGATAATAACTTTTGTTTTCAAAAAACCCCTCTGAAAAGTCTAATGAGAGAAATATTATAAATGAAGGATGTGGTGGTGGACCATGAAGGCTGACATTTTATAACTGGTGCTTTTCCAGGAAGCTAATTATTTTAGTCTACTACTCAGAATAATAAGGAATCTTACAGACTCTGGCTTACAAAATCTTATGATCTAAGATGTTTATTCTATAAGATATCAGAATATTATTTAAAATAGTGAGAAGGGAACATCTCATTTTGAGAAATTTCAAAAACTATAGCAAAGAAAAACTTTCTAGTTCTCATTTCAACAGAGGAGAAATATATATTACATATTATTTCAAATTCTAAGGATGTTGTTGAGTGCAAATTCCTTGACTACTGCATAAAAAGAATGGCTGGGGTCTTATAAAAAATCAGCTAGGTTTTCTTATCAAAGACTAAATCAAAAGATTTAGTGCCATCACTCTTCCAGCTTATTCAAGTAACCCAGTCTTAAAACAAACCAATGTTATACAACATAGAGTATTTAGGTCTCTATTTGTTCAAATGATGGTGTCCTGCTCTTGCTAGTCACGTGGCAACATGTTCCTAAGATGCTGCATTTGTCAAAGAATAACTGTTTCCCTTGAGCCAAATTATGACATCAGTGACACTTGCCAGAAAATTATAGCATAGATCAAATGTGGCAGGCAGAGCTGATGGTTTATAGCTGTCTGGCAATCCCACCTCATGTTGTAGATCTCATAGAAGGAGATTAATTTCTTTCCCCTCCGTTGAAATGATTCAAAAATAGCCATGTCATCAAACCCAAATAAAAAATGAGTGACAGAAGAAAAAGATATTTGAAGCTCACCCAAGCCACTTTGAGTTTTTAGAAAGAGAAGACCCTAAAGGTAAAACTAACACATTTAAAAACTATTTCCAAAAGGCCAGATGAAAGAAGAAGGTTCTCTATGATTAAAGTAAGCATTTAATTTTTAAATAATATATTATTATTATTATTATAGTAAATTGCAATGCTTAGCATTGTAACTGACATCTTGTTAAACTTATACAATTAATAACACAATCTAGTACATATTGTTTTACACATTTCTGGATTTTTATTGGCATACTGGCTTGCTTAAGATACTTTGATGTTTGAAATACTTGGATATATTGTTACTAAACACCAAATTAAACTTTGTCATCCCATGCTTGATGTCTCCATAGGATATGTTTACTCAAATGACAGCTTCAGCATACTAGTAAGAATATGGAATTTATTTGTTCAGCTTAATGAAATCATTATAAATAAATAACTCAATATTGCCATATAATTGCTTCATTCTAAGTCTGCATCTAATATAGAAACAAGATCCATTAATTGTAGTATTCTTATGTCTGATTAAGTCTGTAGTGAATTGCCCATAAATGAGCTAAAATTCATTTAAGATGCAATTTCATAACCACAGACTCCTCTCTTTCCTATATTGACATATTATGTGAGGTAAAAATAAAGATGAATGAAATTATGAGGAAATTAATTCTACTTTTTTGCAAAATACCTGCTTCATCTGGAAACACTGAGATTCTGTTGAAGATAGAATATTAGTCCTAATAAAAGTATACCAATTTCATAATGCTCTACATATTTATTCAGTAGCAAATATTATTAACTAAATGAGGACTTAAGCTAAGGGAAATTGAGCTGTGAGTTGCAGTTATGAACATTTAGTAAGGAGTAAATGTACTGAATTCAGTAAGGTTTACTTCTGAGTAGAATCTTACAAGATCACAATAAAAAATCTTGCCTTTAAAAATGCATATAAAATATATAATATATAAAACATTAACCCCCAAATTATCTGGCTCAAAGATGTTTGCTCTCCATTTTAGGGAAGTGGAAAGAAACTTAGTGAAGGAAATTTAATCAGAAAATTCAACTTAGACAAGTAGTTTTTCCCATTCATCAGTGTTTAATAACTACCATATTAGGGCTTGTTTCATTTACACACTGTGGGCTTATACATAAAACAAATTAATATTCTTAAATATGACATGCAGATATAGTTTAAGGTATTTACTTTATTTCCACTTATTGGTTCTAATTAATTTGGAATGACTGAATGGGGGAAAAAACAGCCATTCATTGTACAAATGGCTCACCTTTCTGAAATTAAACCAGTTGTTTGGTATTGACAAAATAAGAGCATGAACCAAAATTATTATGCAAATGTTTTGGTTAAAAAGTGCCATACTTAAGTTCTTTTAAGCATTTTCCATGGGGAATGGAATATTAACTGGAATTTTAAATGAAATTATTTCTTTCCTTCTTTTCTGTTAAGTTTCTGGATTTATTTTATTATTTTGAACAATCATCAAAAATGGAAGTAACACAAACAAGAACTATATGAAGAGAAAGAAACATATATCTCCAAATGTCACAAATGCTTGTGGAGAAAACTGATGCCATTGGTGTCTCTGAACTAGATATTTTCCAAAATGCCCCATTTTTTGTTCAGCTTTAAGGTTCTCCCATATTTTTTCTTTTCAAACAAAATGTTTTTTGGGAGAGAAAAGACAGAGATATTGAGCAACTCTTCAGCTGGTGGTATAGAACTAAAAGCCCTCAATCTGGAAGCATCTTGCAGATCAAGTGATACCAGATGGCTAGCGTTGGCAGATGTGCAGACACAAGGGGGAGATATTGACATGTGTGAATAAAGCTCTAGTTTTACAGAAGTGCTGATGTCTGCACATGCTTAATTGCCTAGGATGGTTGACTGTCATTGGGGAAAGAAAAACACAAAACTGGGAAGATTGAAAACAAAATATATTATCCCAGAGAAAAGCACAGGAGCACTCTTGTTAGGATGTAAAACTATTTACATGAATTTGCAACCTATAGTTACAGCACAATAGTATCTACTTGCAATTCAAATAATTGCTGAAATATTCAGACCAGAAATTAAAGAAAAAAAATAATTGTATTATTATTATATATATATTTTAATGGCTAACAGAGAATTCACCTTGGATGACATTCTACTAAATCCAGTTTAGAACAGTCTATAAACTTTAAAGAAACTACCTTTATTTATTCATTATTCTGTTTATGACTACTGCAATAATGTTATTCTTCTTCGTGAATGTAATCTGTTGTGCTCATGAATATCAAAGAGACACAATCAGAAATAAAATAACACAATAGTTTATGGACAAAATAACAAGTTGTCATGAACAAGTTAGTAATCTTTTGGGGCACTTTGATAATTATGTGAGAAACTCGAAGAACATTATCTTCCTTCCCTGAAAACACTCAGAAATAATAAGAATGTACAGTCCTAGGTGCAAGAAGGAGAACCAGTAGATGCAGCCCAAACTATCAATTAAACTGATGTTAGAATATGTTTAGCATGTTGAGATATTCAGCACTATGTGGTAGTGGAGCCCACCTTCTATTTGTTCCACAGTATCACTCACTGTAGTTGTAGAACAATATATAGGTTACTTTCTCTGCAAACAAAACTAGGTGTGAGCTGAAGCACAACATCCTTTGTCAAACCAACTCAGAAAACTCTAGCTTAAATATTATAGCTCATCTAAGTAGAATCTAATGTAAGAAGTTATTTTCACCAAAAGCTTTTATGTAAGCCATTTTATAATGAAGGAAAGGGAAAGACTTGTTATTTTCTTGGAACATGGATTATTATTTTAGCAGTCCGAAAGATACTGTCTCTTTTGTACTTTTGATTTGCTTTTCAGAACATGGACATCTTCATTGGCTCCAATCACCATCCCATAGTAATCTGTGATGCTCATGGCTTGAAGAAATTTTGGGAAAAAATAATTGAAACATATACCAAACAAAAAGAAGATGAAGATTCTCGATTGCATCAAAGTGCTTTAAATAAGTGAGTGATTTTATTTGCATTAAATTTAATCTGCTTAGCAAAGCTGTATTATAGGTTTCAAATTGGGTAGATCTAATATTTTTTATTTAGTCTATGTTCAACTAAGCAATTCACTTCAGAAACAGACTACGCTGGCTAAAAAAGGCAGAATTTCTTTCTGGAGGGACCTGGACAAATATATCTTTGGGATGCTTTACATAAATGATATGCTAGCCTAAAGGCCAACAATAGAATTGCTGGTATACTGTCTGTTCCCCAAAGCAATCACTTCTTGATTCATTTATCCGTATTGATGATCCTTTGCATATTTCTGCAAGGCACCATCATTTATCCTATGACATTTAGGTCATCTGGAAAGTGGCAACGTTAAAATAACGTTGTCCTATTGTAAATGTGTACCTCTATTTCATGTGCAGATTTCCAAGGCAAGTTTATCTAAATAAAATCATATAAATGGCATTAAATATTAATGTATTTGCGGGCCCCTCCACAAATGCCTTCTAAGCAGATTTGTGGCAACTAGTCAAGAATCACTTTTATTTTCACAGACATGATGATTTGAGACACAGAACAGAAATGCCAAATATATTGCCAATCCAATCAGCTAAAATGGTGATACAGACTACATTTAGAATAAGATCTGCTAAGTTAAATGGAGCCAGCTCCCATAAGTTTACTCTTTGCTACTGTAAATTTAATTATGCATACCTCAGGTCTGCAACACTTAGGGCAGTTCCAGAGCACTGCTTTTTTCTACTCTGGTAACTGTTCCACATCTGACTGACCTCATGCTGTTGTCTGCACATAGGAAGCAAGTTTATTTTGGACTCTGCTATTTATTACAAACAGCAGCAAAGCTGCTATTTTCCTTGGAATATAACACTAAGACATGATAGAGCTCATGTGCAAATTGTTTTGCTGTTGGCAGGAACTCTTGGCTCACATCAGTTCTTAGTTCCTGGAATCAGTCCAAGCATCATCCTCTCTGTCCCCAGAGATTCACTGTGCTATTCCTGGAGCTTTTCTCCTCTTGTATGTTTTAAACCATCTCCATTCTCCTCCAATTGAGCCACAACTGCAGTACATATCTAGGATCACAACTATCAGGAAATGACTGGTTACAAAATCACTAACACACTCGCATTTTACTTCACAAATCACCAACATTTGTTTTTTTTTTTTTTTTAGTGCTACAGCTTGGAAGCCATTGGAAGATTCTACACATTTTTTTTAATAATCTATTTTCTCCTCAGTATTTTGCCTGTTAATAAGTTTTTTGGGGTTTTGGGGTTCAGAAAGATGACACTTCTTAACCAACAGGACCCACAGAGATTATCAGACTGAATGAAGAATTTACTCATTCGTAGTAGCTGCCTCTCTGATGGAAGTTTTATTCTCAGTTTCTTTTAGCAGCCTTTCGCTAAACATGTCTTCTCCATTTTTATAACCATTTTTTTTTTCATCTGAGAAATATAGTTTGATTTCTTTCACCCACAAAGGGGAGCATTTTGCTGAACCTCTCCTACAATCTCTTCCAGTTGCCTTAGCTATACGGTGACTAAGAATATCTGAGAATATTTGTCTTTTATTCATCCCTCCTTGGTTTCTCTGTTTCAATTAATCCCAAACCGAAGACATTGTGAACAAATCCCTCATCCTGAGCTTTTTCAAAACAGCAAGTATGGGCAGTTAGGGAACTTCTAGAGGAGGGAAGATGTGTGATATTGAAAAAAACAGCCATGCTTGTTATTTCACAATTATAACCATCATCAAAATAAAACTGAAAATATGTTACTATGACACAAAAAAGCAGAAGCCTCTTTTACTGAGGAAGAAAACTGTTGGAAACTAGAAGCCAGATTATTAACTTTTATGGGCTTCCAGGCTTATAATAAAAGACAAAGATGTAATTTGAATGTTATAAGGCTCAAGAAAGAATTCACTGGTTACACTGGAGAGTAAGAATAAACAAAGCCATTGTTGTTGTTGTTGTTGTTTTAAAAAAAATTATATCCCCATCCAAAATTGCAGTAGCAGCTAAATCAGCGGTTCTCAACCTGTGGGTCGCGACCCCATTTGGGGTCGAACGACCATTTCACAGGGGTCGCCAAACAACGCGATCCGCCATTTTTTTTTGTCAGCTGGTGCCACCGCGCATGTGTGCCATGCCGCGCATAGTTGATACTAATGAATGAACAACCGTCTAAATGAAAGTATATCTCTTAGTGTCTACGGGGATTGTATAATTAATAAAGAATATTTGAGAAGGGAAAATGCAAGAATGTGGTTTGAATTTAAAAACTGCTAACTGATTAGAATGGTATTTGAGAATACATTTGCTACAGGCTAGATCAAAGGCCATACTATGTATACTGAGACATTAAATGAATCAATCAGAGAACAAATAGTTATACTGAGCAATTATTATATCCCTCTGCAGAAGTTCACCCAGACATTTAAGGATTAGAAGCAGATTGGGGTCTCTGCATACAGAGCCTCTGAAGACTTTTGCATGTAGTACGTAAGAGTCTGAAGTGTGCTTAATGCAGCTGTGCACTAACTGAACTCCCAGTTTCAAGGAAGTTTGTATGTTCAGCCAAAGACACAGATAATCTCTCTGCAGAACTTTATGTTAAATTCACAGAGACCTACTAAAACTGTGCAGCAGGGATACACAACCTTTTCAATCTGGTAAGCACGATTGGAACTAAGAGAAATATCATGAATTCCCTTACAAAAAGCTGTCAAGGGAGTCTTTTTCTTCACAAAACAGCTGTCATGTTGGGTATGGGCAATCATAAAACACTGAAAGTACCAGAAAGTGAAATGATGAGGCTATTGTCTGTTATTTCCTATAATTTAACAGCATGTTCTCTTCTTTTCATGTGGGTGTTTTTCCTAAGAAACCAATCATACTTTCAAACAAACCACCAAGCTGCAATCAGGGGTATGCAAAATTCACACCCCTTAAAATTCTGGGCCCAGTTCAGTTGTTTCCAGAAGTAAATCCCCTGAATCAGTAGCAATTCAAGCTCTTCTAGACATGATGTTCCAGATAAAACAGGCCATCTCATCTAGGGACCTCTTGTGCCCATTCTAATTTGGAGGGTTTACTTCAGCCTGGTCTACACGGAAACAGAACTTTCTATCTCCAAATCTGAGTTTTTTTAACATCCCTAGCTGTGAACCCATCCACCATTTTTTATTTCTAAAAATAGCTTTGGGTGCATGCAGAACCCAGAAACATTCTTGTAAATGCATTTGATGTTAGATTGTGGTACTTTGCTTTGAAACATGTCGGTCTCCTGTTGCTGTTTTGGGTTGGTTATTTGTTTTAGTTAAAAGCACATCTTGTTTTTTAGCCAGGTAGAGTATCAAGCCTGTTTAGTGACAAAGCAAGTGCTTATCGTACTGCTTACCTCTATCTTTCAACAAGAAGGACAATAGTAACAGAGGTTTTTGTGTACTCTCCTCTCAATATAATTTTAATTCAGGGTATGCAACAGGAGAATGCTTGCAATGGGCTCCTGTGATGTCTTACCCTAGGCCTAAAATATTGTTTATTTTATGTCCAGAGTTCAGGCGAAAAACTAATCTGACAAGAATAGCTTCACTCTTATTCTTATATACCACAGTAATTTTTTAGCTATGGTTTCTTTTCTCATCACAATTTCAAACATATAAATATTCATTACTATTGCAAAAAATATTGGATACTTGCCAAATGGCATGTTTTGCCACAATAGAGTACCAATCTATTCCTACACACACTGAAGATCTCAGATGCACAGCCAAGATTCCAGGGATTAGGTGCATAGATGTTCTGATCTCCCCATCCCATCACGTGGAATACTTCCATCTAGATTGGTGCACTCCTACACACATTGGGAAGAAGTGGTTAATGGGCAATTCCAAAAATATGAGGGTTTATAGTGAGGAGGAATATTTTCCCTTTCACTAAGACTTTTTCTATGCACACATTACATTAATAGCCCAAAGAGGTAAATGGGAACATGCCATATAAATACCTTGATTAAAAAATAACACCTTCTTGATTCAATAAATGCATTCAATTATTATTATTTTTTGTTATTGTTATTGTTCTGCTGATACAGTGCTATAAACAGAGTTTGCTTCCACAAGTTTCCTCTTTTTTTCCAAACTCTCCCTCATACATATACCGTGATATTTATCAGATGTTAACATACATTCTTTTTACATTCATATATAAGATACTTTTAATAAAATGAAATAAATACATACACGACTTTTGGTGTTGCTTGCCCATTTCCCCTTTCACTGTATCCACACTCCTTCTTCTCTACCTTCTTTTTTCCTTTCTTCTCTTCCCTACTTCCCTCTTCTTCCTCTCCTCTTCTCTTTCCTTCACCACTCTCCTCCCCTTTCTCCCCACTTCTCCTCTTCTCCTCCAACCTTCCTACTTCCTTCTCCCCTCCTTCACTCTTTTCTCTCTCCTCTCTTTTCTTCCCTCTCATCCCTCTTCAGATACAATTCAGGGGTAATGTCCGAGCAACTTCTCTCTCCAAATTTCCCTATCTGTATTATATACAATAAGATTAATTTTCTCTTACATTAATACTTCTATTTATCTAACCTTATCGGTATATACTTCTATAAATATTTATACAACCTCCAGTTATTCAATACTGTGTCACCTGGGTCTCCCTCCTTATCTGCTCCTTCTTCTTCCATCTAAATTGATGTTAACTATCTTTTAACCGTATTCTCTTTTCAGCCAATCATAAAAAGTTCCCCAGATTTCATAGTAGTCTGACTCTATCTTATCTTTAATTGTCATTGTTAGTCTATTCATTTCTGCACATTCCAGTATTTTCCCAATCACCTCTCCCTCTGGGGGGGGGCTTTCAGTGCTTTCCAATTTTGTGCAAACACAATCCTGGCTGCCGTAATTATATGAATAATTAAATATGTTTTCTCTTTATTGTATTTCCCTGGTAGAATACCCAACAGGAATGCTTCTGGTCTTAATTCTATACATTGTTGTATCATCTTTTCTATCCATGTTCTAATTATATTCCAATAACTTTTAGCTTCTACACACGTCCACCACATATGGTAGAAGAAACCTGGTATCTGATGACATTTCCAACATTTCATAGACCTGTCCTTAAACATTTTAGCTAATCTTTCTGGAGACATGTGCCATCTGTAAAACATTTTGTACATATTTTCTTTATATGCAGTCGCCATTGTCAATTTATAGTTTCTTTCCCATAGTTGCTGCCATCTATCTAATTCAATTGTGTATCCAAAATTCCTTGTCCATTTTATCATTGTCTCTTTCACTTGTTCCTCCTCTAACTCCATATGTAGTAGATAACTGTACATTTTTAATCCATTTTTCTTCCGTTCCTGTGAGTATTTCATCTAACTCTGTTGTCCCCAAATTAACACCATCTATTTTAACATCTTTTTCATATCTAGATTGTATTTGCGTTCTCATGTACCAATCCATCTTTATTCCTTGTTCCTCTAATTGTTGTTTGGTTTTCAACTCCCCCATATCTGTTTAGTAAGTCCTTATATCTTATAATGTATCCCATGTTAAACATATTGGGGTGTATTAGCGCCTCCATAGTTGAGAGCCAATTTGGAATCTTCAAATAATGCTTTATCTTTACTTTCTCCCAGACCACAAATAAAGAATTGCTTATATGGTGTCTCTGGAAATAGCTATGTATTCTGTTTTTTCCATACCATATGAAAGCATGCCATCCCAACTGTAAATCATGTCTCTCTAATGTCAATAATCTTGTATTCCTCAGTAAGATCCAGTCTCTCATCCATGATAATGCTGCAGCCTGATAGTACAATTCCCAATTAGATAGACCAAACCCACCTCTCAATCTTGTATCTTGTAACATTTTTAGATTAATCCTTGCCTTTTTTCCCTGCCAAATATATTTCAAGATTATTTTATTAAGCCCCTCCAAATATTTTTTATCTAATCTTATTGGTATTGTTGAAAACAAAAACAATAATCATGGTAATATATTTATTATGATTATCGCAATCCTTCCCATTAATGATAGTTATACATTTTTCCATTTATCCAAATCTACTTCAATTTGTCTTTTCAATATATGATAATTATCCTCTTTAATTGTTGTGCATCTTGCTATCAGGTGGATCCCTAAATATTTTACCTTCTTTACAATCTATATATCTAATTTTCCCACCAGTTCTTTTTTTTGTTTTTCAGTAATATTTTTCACTAACATTTTGGTTTTATCTTTATTAATTTTCAACCCAGCTATCTCACCATATTTTTCTATTTGTTCTATTAATACAGGTCCTGACTCTAATGGTTCCTCCAAAATAAATACTAAATCGTCTGCGAATGCTTGTAGCTTATATTCTTCCCTCTTAATTTTCATCCCTTTTATGTCATTATTCTGCCTTATACATCTATTTAATACTTCTAATGTCAGAACAAACAACAGTGCAGATAGGGGACAGCCTTGTCTTGTTCCCTTCATAATGTTGATCTTCTCAGTCATATCTCCATTTATCATTACTTTGGCTGATTGCTTATTATAAATTGTTCTGATTACATTTATAAATTTCTCCCCACAATACATAGTCTGTAATTGACTTATCATGAATTGCCAGTTCACATTGTCGAATGCCTTCTGTGTGTCCAGGAACACCAATGCCATCTGTTTCTTGGGGTGTGTTTCATAATATTCTAATGTGTTCAATATAATTCGCATATTGTCTCTAATCTGTCTTTTGGGTAAGAAGCCATTTTGATCCGATTGTATAAATTCATTTAAAAACGTTTTAAGTCTTTCCGCCATTATAGATGCAAATATTTTGTAGTCCACATTCAGTAGGGAAATCGGCCTGTAGTTCTTTATTTTCTGTGTTTCCATTTCTTCCTTTCATATGAGAGTGATAAGAGCTTCGGACCACGAATCTGGTATCTTAGCTTCAGAAAGAAGTTCATTATAAAGTTCCAATATTACATTACGTAGTACTTCCTGGAATGTCTTATATAGCTCTGCTGGTAGTCCATCTGATCCCGGTGTTTTACCATTTTTTTGTCTGTTGATTGTTTCTATTAATTCCGTCATTGTTATTTCCCCTTCTAATATCTTTTAAAATTTCTCTGGCATTTTAGGTATCTCTGTTTCTTCCAAAAAATGTTTTATCCTATCATCTGAAACTGTTTGTTGCTTGTATAGGTTCTCATAATATTCCCAGATTATTTTTCCACAAGTTTCCTTGATGTCATTTCCAATACATGTACTATATTATTTTTCCTATGAGATAACCCTGAGCTGATGCTTCATCCAGAGAATACCCAAAGGAGAAACAGCATGTATCTCTAATGACAGCATTTTCCCAGTTCTTTGACTCCTCTGGAATCTAGCAATGTCACCAAGCTTCATTCCGATGATGAGTGATACTATTAGTATTCTCTGTCTATCCCAAGTCAGAAGGCCAGAGAGATACCTATGCTAAATTAACACATGACAAGTGCAATGGTGATGAAAGAAAAGGGACATCAATAGCATTACACAAAAGAACTAGACTTCAAAAGCATTTAGCTAAAGATTCACAGTATGTTCTTTCTTCCCAGGCTCCGACATGAATGGACTCTAAGGCTGGAAAATCAAATTAAGATACTTCAGAAGAACAGTGAAAATGGCAAAGTGCAGGATAACCTGTCTCCAATTGAAAATTTTAGCCAAAACGTCTGACCAGACTTGATTTTGATCCTTGATGTTTCATTATGAATGTGAACAGATATTCATCTGACACCTGAGTTATAAATGAGCTATTAAAGGACACACATGGGTACTTTTGGTAAGCTGTTTATCAAACAGCAGCAAAAAAGGAAAAAAAATATTAATTCTTAGTTGAATATTAATCATTTATGTATATCATTAAGTTCTACCTGCAGTCTTAGCTACTTATATTTGATCCCTGATAGCATTGTATTCTTTAAATGGGGGAAAACTGCTCTTTATTATGTCAGTTATCAATGAATATAGTGGTTAACTTTGGCTAATATACTGTACTTATTTGGGTATCCTGAAATGTTGTCAAATGCTTTGGAATTTTGAGGCTGAAACAATATTAGTTTAGGAAAACAAACAGTCTTCTCATAGGGATGCATTAAAACAATTTATTTCCCCCCCAAGTTGAATTCAATACTAGCTCACAAATATATGTCTGTGGGAAAAAGTGTGTTGAAAGATGTGTATGTTTTGCCCGACTGGAATTTAAAACACTAAGATACCCCGTTCTACAAATGGACAATAAACGCGACTCTTTTTTTATATTTTGGTTTGTCAGGATGGTATTACAGATGTAGTATTAATTTAAAAAATATGTCATTTTCAGTGCAATCCTATCTATGCCTACTGAACAAAATGAACAATGTTCTTGTTAGACTTCCTGCAGGCTCACATAAATTTGTAGAGGCTTGTAGCCTTACTAGCCTCTCTGCAGGTTGCACTAGTGATTCTCTCTTCCCCTCTGCTATTTTTGCCACTTTCTGATGGTTGCCAATGTGATATTATAATCCAAAATTAAAAATGTCTCAGTTGCAAGAAAAACAGTAAAAAGCAAATTGCCTTTTTTCCTATTTTGTCTTCCTGAGTCCTTAATACTTTTCTCTCAAGTGGCCCTCCACATCCAATCCTTGTTAAATAAGCAATTTGCCAAAACTTTTTAAATCTTCGAAATCCTCCTTTTTTTTCCTTTTTAATCCAGAAAACAATTAATCCATGTTGACTCACCAAGTGGATTTCTCTTATCCTGCCACTCAGAAAATCTCTCTTTAGCTGTAAATTGATTACATTTGAAAGTGTTTAAGAAAGCCTTATGTGACCAATAGATGATAGTCTGACCATGCCCCCTGAGTCATCTACTGTGGCATTGATGGTTAGGGAAGTGAGTCAGGTCGTATGTGTACCATATATGCCGGCGTATTAGGCAACCCGGCGTATAAGACGACCCCCGTCTTTATAGCTGGGCCGCATTCCTAGAACGTTGTCTTATACGCCGGAAACTACCAGTATTTCCGGCGTATAAGACGACTTGGCATATAAGACGACCCCCGTCTTTGGCGCCGATTTCAGCGCTCGCGGAAGTCGTCTTATACGCCGGCATTTACGGTAATCAAAGTTGTGCCAGAGAAGGGGAAAGCACTAATGTAGCACTAATATAGTTAAGGACAACTTAGGAACTATGGTTCAGACAGAGAATACATCATTAGAATACAGCAGGGGGGAAAAAAGGTTGCTTGGGCATATTTGTGCTATAGGTAAGTACAAGTGAGAAAAGGCTTTTAATGTATGTTTAAACACATGTTGTGATGACCCTCTTGTCCAAATGCACTAAAGCGAAGTGCGATGTATCTCAAAATCCATTCTATGTGCAGACTATTGGGCATGTAAAATTCAGCCATTTCTCCAGAAAGCCGGAATCTCCAGTTCCACAGATCTGGTAAACATAGCAACAAAATGTTATTAAGTTAATGATATCAAACAAAGGGAAAGAAAAAGAACCAGAGTTTCAGGCATATATTTGGATATTTAAAAAAAAGACAAAATGAAAGCAGGATTTAAAACACACACACACACAAACACACACACACACTATTGTTGAAAGAAAAATCTTCATTAGGGTCCACTCCAAGCTGGGAATAAACAAAATGGAGACTGCTTTAGAAAGAAGGTTGGAGTTTATTGAAGAGCAGAGCCAGAAAAAAGCATGGCTCTGGGAAAGCTAACCACATGTTGCTGGGAGTGGTGGGTTTTTATACCTTCTGGGGCTTTTGAGGTTGTTTCCTATTCCTGTTTGAGGCTTTGTATTTCCTGTGTCATGTACTTTGACTTGAGTCTGAGTGTGCCCTTTTGGTATTGGTGGGTTAATCCTATTATGTTCCCAAAGGCCATGCCTTTTAGAGTTTGAGTGGGGTATGTAGATTTTAGAGGTCTTTGTCTTCCTAATCTCATAGCTTCTAGTTTCCTGGCCCCAACCTTCCTGAAAGGATTATTACATCTGCATTTCTAAAAGCTGATTTCTGCTGAGTTTTCTGGCTGGGGGGGGGGGGAGGGAAAAATTTCTGCCTTTTTAAAGATCTTCTCCATTATTCCTTTGGAGAAATATATTCTGCCTTTTTAATATTTCACAAAATATTTCTTTCTCAGGATTCTTCCCACACTATATAGAAAATAACATGTTTTGTCTAATGGTGTAACAGAAGACAATTAAAGTCAAGAATACCTATAAAAAGAAACATGAAAATTGCAACTTGTCAAAGACAGCTATTGATTTATCAAAGCATTCAAGGAAAATTATACAGAACACCTTTTTCAAGTCTAAAGTTTAACTAATCCAACTTACTTATGAAATACTACTTAAAGGAATTTGTTTTTTTTTTCCTCTTAGAAAAGCACAATTGCAAAGAATTTATATTCATGTGTATTTGTGTATTTACACTATCACTCTTAAGTAAAATATGAATAACGTCAAGAGTTTTGCTTTACATTACTATAATGTAGAAATATACATTATCAGAAATATTGTGTGTGTGTGTGTGTGTGTGTGTGTGTGTGTGTGTGTGTGTGTGTATGTAGCTTATCAGGTATTTAGGAACCTAGGACTTGGCAGCTCAAGGAAACAAGAGCCAATAGTCAGCAGCAGATAAATATGATGCATAAAGTAGACCAAAGCACCCATTCCAGTAGAGAGACGTTTCCTAAGGATGGGCTCCAACACAAGTCTGAAAGCTCAGAAGAATAAACCTCTGGTGACTGACTCAGAAAGGATCCAGAAATAAACAAGTTAGCTGATATGGCTGGGGATATGTCCAATACACTTAAACAGTAGGTGTACTATTTGTAGTGTTGCTCTGGAAGATACGGTATATTAGTTTCATATTCTCTCTCTCTCTCTCTCTCTCTCTCTCTCACACACACACACACACACACACATTTATCTTTTGCCTTTGTTTTGGTTGTCCAGTATATAGGGGCCTTCCTTCATTTTAAGTAAGACAGATGAGAAAGTACCTAGTTCAAGTTAACTAGAGAGCACATCGTGCTAATAAATAATTTATTTGAGAATAAAGCATCCCTAGTTAAAAGAAAGGGATAATGTTCCTCATAAAATGAACATCTATATTCATGCAAATTCCCCACCCCCAAGTATATGTCATTTGTAAAAGTATATGAAAAAGAACTAACACTATAGCAAATCATTATCAGCCTGAAAGGAAGGGCTGGGCACAATATGATTTGCTAAGTATGGACACCAAGCCTACTGTATAGGCCAGAGGTTCTCAATCTCACTACCGGGCCATGACCTATTCAGAACCGGGCCCCACAAGCAGGGAACCAGTGTGCAACTTGCACAGGTCAAGCTGCACGTGCATGTGTTTGCATGCGTTTGTGTGCTTCCCACCGGTCACACAAGTCAAGCTGCGTGCATGCAAGCCAGCCCACCGCTCACATGGCTTGGTTCCTCTCCCCCCCCCCATCAGGCCATCAAGCCGCAAAGGTTGGGAACCACTTACAGTATATAGGCTACTGCCAACATCACTTGTTGCTTTCTGGGCACTGTGGGGGTCTTGTGTTTTAGCTCTAGGGTGCAACTTTACTGCATTGCCACAGGAGATTGTCTAATATTATCAAACAGAAAAACATGCAAGTTTACTTTTATTACAGTATGTTTTTTCTTAAATAGTCCTCATCGTATTAAAGTGGCCAGGAAAAAATTGTTCAGTATCTTATCACCATCACAGTTATTTGTAAGTTAAGATTCCATATAATTTTTATTGACTGCAGCAGCAGATGTGTTTCCCAAATACTGCAGTTATGCCTTTGTCAAGGGAATCGGTAAGTGATTCACACCCATACATTTTCATTCAGACAATTAAATGGTATTTAGAAGAATGTGACTGATTCCATGCTGACTTTCAGCCCACTAGTTGATAGCACAAATCGCTGTGATAGAAAGTTCACTCATGAATTCCATAACTAAATGTATTTGTAAATGATATCGTCAAGCCACCTCAGTGTTAAAAAATGATTATTGATTTGAAATAGTTGTACCTGCTTTGTATTCTTAGGATCACTGAGAACATTCATGCAGCATAAATAAATGCAGACTTCTGATTGCAAATAGATTTCAGAATCCCTTAAGAGTAATGGCTAGTCAAAATTTTCTCCTAGATTCTGGAGTTGGCTAACAGATATAAAAATTATTTATACTGTAAACAGACTATTTTTAAGAACAGTCTAGACCAGTGGTTCTCAACCTGTGGGTCGGGACCCCAGTTGGGGTCGAACGACCATTTCATGGGGGTCGCCAAACAAGGCTGTCCGCCATTTTTTCCCCCTTTTCTTTGGCCACGCCCCTGGCACCCAGTGATGTATAAGTGGTTGGGGGTTACCACAACATGGGGAACTGTATTATGGGGTCGCAGCATTAGAAAGGTTGAGAACCACTGGTCTAGACTATCATGAACATTGTTTATTCTTGCAAATACATAAAATACATTTCATTATCAATCAAGTTCTTGATAACACTTATTACAGTTGCATGTCTATAAAGACCTAAATAGTACTCATTTCTAATAAAAAGGCAACTCTAAAGATTTTGAATGCATTTATATTTTGCACTCTTTTCCTCCCTCTTTTAAGATATATATATATAATGGGGCATGTAAATTTGGTGGATTCAATAAGAACATCTGCATCAATTTGGAAAATCATTTCATTTTTAATGACTGCTCTGTTTGAACCATTTCTAAAAACTGGACATGCTATGATTTAGTGTATTTAAATTCACATCTTCGTGTCTAAATCAAAGTCCAAATCGATCAGTCAGTTTGATCTACCAAATCAATTTGATGCTGCAAATCAATCTGACTTCAATATTTAATTAAATAATAAATGCTTGCAGAGTTAGTAAAGAGCAAACAGTACCTACACTTTGTCATAATTACATTGTTTATAGTGAAACTTTAGGATGCTTTAAAGATAGAACCTTTGTGTTGACCAACAAAAGCTGTTATTGTGAGAGCTGAAGCTGGCAAGGCCAGAAGCAATAAGCCTGGGACCAGAGGAGATTCATCAAAATCCAGGATAGATGTGCCCTCCAGTTTCAAGGCCAGGAAACAAGGAGCAACATCCATCATCACATAAGAGGGGGAGAAAGAAAACCAAGATTTAAACTGTGATCTGTTATAAATAGAGAGCTTGATTGATTGCTTCCACAGCCAATCTTCCTCATTATTAGGGCTTTTTGAAAACAGTATAAAAGCAACTTACCTATCCGACATTTGTCCTTGACAATGATGGTATGTGGGAACGGATGACAGGAGGAAGACCCATAGACTAGACCAGCGGTTCTCAACCTATGGGTCGTGACCCCATTTGGGGTCGAACGACCATTTTACGGGGGTCGCCAAACAATGCGATCTGCCATTTTTCCCCCTCAGGGAGCGCCGCCGCACAGGGGGTCGCCGTCACACAAAGGTTGAGAACCGCTGGACTAGACAATGGTCTAATCCAGTGTTTCCCAAACTTGACAATTTTAAGGCATGAGGACTTCAACTCCCAGAATTCCACAGCC